CTCTATCTTAGAAATGCGTTTCATTTAGGACTAATCTCAAAATCCTCCGCTCGAAGTTTATTATAATTTCACCTAATTCCCCTCAAATTTTTAAGATGACGCTTGCTTCCCTTGTTTGTCCAACGATAGTGACAATTGCACCCATGTAATACAAAAAAAGGAAAATAAAAATGTTACGGACTACTCTTAGTCGCTAATTTATTTAAATTTATCGTTATTTCATTTCCTTATCCCTATAAATTAGGGATAATTTCACAAACCTCCCTTGAGGTTTCTGACAATTTCACTCGGCTCCCCTCAAGTTTAAAAAATTACACTTACCTCCCTTGACATAGTAAAATACCTATAATGCCTTCCACTTGGTAGACAATTTTAAATTTAAGGTAATAAATTTGCAAAACCCAAAAAAAATCTATTTTTCTACCTCTTGTCTATTTTGCCCCTCTCTTTTCTAATTAATATAATCTCTTTTTATTATCTTCAATTTTGTGGATATTAGCAAATTAAAATTACAAAATCAATAGAGAGAGTAGATTACGTGTCAAATTAAAAGGAAATGAAGAGACTCACAGTGATTGAGAAATAAATAATGAAATTGGTGATTGAAATAGGGAAAAAAACTAAAGATATGAAATTTATCATATTTTATTTGCTGTCAAGAAAAACTTTTATAAAATGCCAATAATTACAAAAGGATGTCTTTCATTGGATTAGAAATTTTTTATTATGATTTTATTTTGGAGGTAGAATTTATTCTCTATTTCTGGGATATTAATATTTTTAAGGCCATAAAAGGGTTATAATGGCTGTTATAGGTCAGATTAGCTTGTATTGAAAAGGCATTTGAACATTAATATTTAATTTTGGGGTACAATTGGTTGCCAATGGTGTTTGTGTATGTGTTTTTTTTCTTTCTTTTTTTATTTGCTTAGCAAGTATTGATACTATATATACAATTAAGAATTTTTTCAATGGTTACTTGATTTTAGGATTAGGTTTGTTAGGGATACTATATATACTTATGCTTGAATGGTTGTTAGGGATTAGGTTTGTTGATTTATACAAAGCATGGAAGAAAATGATTGAATATACTATATTTTTCTTTCTTAGTTTTGTACAAAGGGGCAATTTAGGATTTTTGTAAAAAAAAAAAATCTATCTCATTGGACCTACATTATTACTAAACAGTAAAAGTAAGGGAGGTATATATAATTTTTAAAACCTAAGGGGTGCTCTCTGTAATTGTTAAAAATCTCAAGGGGGTTTGTGAAATTATCCCTATAAATTAAGCATTTCCACACTTGATTTTTAGATAATTTCTCTAATTTATAAAATCTCAAATGATACAAGTATTGATTGAGACAATTTTATATGCATTTGTAATATTGAAAGTTACAATGTCTATAGTATTGCTTGAATGTCATATAAAATACCACAATAAAAGTGAGCAAGGACAATGGGGTCTCACTAGCGTAGGAGTGACTGTTCAAAAGTCGTGTTAAAAGCAATATTCTTGGTAAGTTCAAAATATATGAATTTCTTTGATTTATAAGCTTGGCCTTTATAAATTATAACTCTGCACACATCAAGTTTCTTCCTTAATGACTTGTTCATATAGTCATTCTCTTCAAACTCCAACTAACAGTTGATTAATAGTACATTAAGTTGAAAAGTGACGTTGGTCGATACTATAACCTTCATGTATGTCTTTTTCTGAACTTAGTATCGATTGAATTATTGGTGATTTGATGTATATCTCCTTTTGTCGCGCACGCTAACATATTTGCTCTTCATTGGTGAGTGCTGAAGATGCTCATTTAAAATGTAATTTTTCTAATTTGTTTTGGCGTGCACTTGGACTATCTTCTTTACTATCAAAGAAACCAATCAGTAGACAATCTCGATACAGCCAAGTAGTGAAGATCTATGTTCACTTCACTTCCTTTCCCCATCTAGAAATTTGTAAGTAGAAAGGAAAACACATGCAGCATATTAGTAAATAGAAACAGTTTGGGATATTTGATCAAGAGCATACATGCATATGTAGGAATAAGGTTACACTATTCGTGGTTTGATTTGTAAGATAGTTAAGTTGAGTTCACATGGCGATCTCCACAGCTAAGGGAAGCAGAAACTTGGAAGCTATCACTCCTCTTCTGGTCAGGGATGATGATGAAGTGCTGGAAGGTTATGTGGATTAAAGGGGCTATCCGTCTAAGCGATCCAAATCAGGAGGGTGGAGATCAGCATCTTTAATCCTAGGTCAGGAAACAAGGTTAAATATGATATCTTTATGTGTCTGGTATGCAAAAGAGTAGTATATATATGAATTAAGTACTATTCTTTCATAGCTCTTCCTTTCTATTGAATCTTTTGTTTTTTGTTACTTTCTTTGAATTCTTTTTTTAAATCCATAGTAGCAAAGTGAAAAAAAAAATGCAGGACCATGAATATTTATAGAGGATTTATAGAGTTGAAGCTCTAGAAATTTCAGACTCTTGCTATTTGCATTAATGACTCAAATTAGACTCCAAAATCTAGACGTTGAATTGGGCCATAATGTAACAGGATTTTGTAACTTCCTGCCTTTAGAAAGATCAAAAACAAAATTTTATATCTTTCACCTAATTTTCCTCAGTCGGTTTTGATTAGTTTAGTTGGTTCATAAGTTGGTGGGCACACCTATTTGAATTGGAAATTTGATGAAAGGGAGTAACTCCGCATTAACTGAACAGGTGGTGGAAGTCTTGAGAGGTTTGCATTTCGCGGGATAGAATGCAATCTCGTAAACTATCTGACGGGGCCGCTTGGACAGTCCATGGCAATTGCAGCTGGAAATGTAAATTTGTGGACAGGTTTAGGATCCTTGATGCCAGTTTTTGGAGCAATAGTTGCCGATTCATTTGTTGGCCTCTATCAAACGAACATCATTTCTTCCATCCTCTACATCCTGGTTTGTTTCTTTCTTCTTCTTCCTCCCCCCTAACTCTTCCATTCGAACAATTTTTAGTTAATTGTGCTAGACTTCTCACTTGCCTTTGTTTTTTCCATTTGTCCCTTCATTTACGTTTCATAGGAAAATTTCACAGTGCCTAATGGCAGTGTGAATCTGGCAAATAATTAGGGAAATTCACGTAAAACACACAATTTTATGTGGCCTATATATGTTAATTTATCAATCTATTTCTGCCACTGGAGTTGGTAATCGCATCAATTATGAGACTTGAAACTATGTGAAGTTGGTTTGGCATGTGGCCGTGGTGTGTATGCATGGTTAACTAGTTTGTCTGCGTACCAAGCACAGGCAGTTGGTGCTGGACGAACTCCCACCACATATGCCCAGACAGATTACATTTTAGATGAGAGGCAAATCTAGGTCATCTGGTCAACTTACTTCTCTTACAAGGCCAAGATCTTTTTTCTTTTTTATGTTTCTTTTTCAGCCATGCCAAGATTTTGACTCTTATGATTGCAATTGCAACCCACTGTCCCTATTTCGCTTGGGACCAGTATTTTGCAATTTAAGACAACTATACATGTGTCTCTACTCCAATTTTCATGTCCACTTCCTTGTTATCGTTTCAAAATCCACAAAAGTAGATCAGATGTGTTGTCAACTTGGGTATGCTTAATGCCTTAATGATGGTACCTAAAATTCTAGTTACGTGCAACCAACCGAGCTGATGAATGGGGTCAATTCTAATGGGATAATTTCACAATTGCAGCTAGTTCCCCTTCAGTTTTAAATATTACACTCAGCCTATCTTGTTTTCATTATTTAAGTAACATTGTAGGTCGAGAAGGCTAGGCCTTTTCTGAAAAATCCCAGAATACCTTTAGGTTATAATTCACAATAAAAATAAAAGGAAAAAAATGTTTCAAATTGTCTCTATTTCGTTTATCGATCCTTGTTTGCTATCACCTGTGTTTAATTACCTATTAACATCCAAATCACTATTAAATAAACACTTATATTTGCTCCAAAATCCCTCTTTTACTTAAAGACTTCCAGTGCAAACCATTGAATCAACTAAAAATACTACATCATATGCCAAAAGCTTGTTTACAATCTCATATTAAACTCAAATTTTGCTTAACACCAAACAAATATTGAATTCATCAATATCTCTAAACTGCAATTTCATGGCTACCACATTTCTAATACAAAATATTCTAAGTTATCGCCACAAATACCAACACCTAATATACTTCATCAGTATGGAATTCAAAATTAGTCAATTTTTGTCTCTGTAGGAATGCCATCGCCAATAATTACGAATGAAAATAGAAACACAATGCAATTATAAATATACTAAGAATATTTTTCTCCACAACAATCATAAGTTATTTAGTCCCTCTTCTATTCCCACCCTTAATTTTAGTTTAACAATAAAATCATCACTGAAATTGTTGTTTGACAATTTCAATTTGCTAATACCCACCAAAAATTGAAAACAAAAATAGATGCAAAGAAACTGTTTAAGAGTAATGAAAGAGAGAAAATTGTAAATAGACGCCAAGATTAGTAAGCATTTGTGGTTGGTATTCATAGTGGATTTGTTCGTGGTATTCTAATCGTTTTTTTTTTTTTGTATATATTCACTTACTCTCTTATAATTTTATGCAAAGTGTTTAGCCTCTTATTATGTTTATTACTTAAGTAAGAGGCAATATTGCTATTTCAACTAACAATTTTATGGATACTATTCTCTATCAAATTTTCACTTTACATAAAGCTGTAATATCTAATATGTGGATATTTTAAAATGTTAGAAGGGTCAAGTAGTAATAGCTAAAACCACAGGGTATTTAGCAATTTGTCCTGTAACTCATAAATATTCCTTATACATCGTCAGTAAAACAGTTCGATCTCAAATGTCGATCATTCTTTACACATTAGCACATGTTGAAATTGAATCATGTCTGTCCCAGATACGAATCCGCTTGTGTCTATAGCCTTCCTGCTTTAATATACTTTGTGCTTCTAAACACAATGTACCATGAAATATCTATCTTCAAACCATATAGAAAATGTCTCATTTGCATATGGCATTCTTAATGATGAATGGAACGAACAGGGACTCGGCTTTTCGACCCTAGCAGTTGAACTTATTTCAAACAATCAAGAAACGAGCAGGATTGCAGCTGTCCCATCTACTGAACTGCAAGTTTTATTTTTCGTCTCGCTATACTTGGTAGCATTGGCGCAAGGATATCAATCCACCATACAAGTCTTCGGAGCTGATCAATTTGATCGACAACATCAAGAAGAAAGCAAAGCCAATACCTCATTTTTCAATTGGTGGCTTTTTGGATTGTCTTTAGGTGTTGCTTTAGCATATCTGATCTTACCCTACATTCAAGAAAATATAGGGTGGGGAATTGGTTTTGGAATTCCATGTCTAGCAATGGTAATTGGGCTCATCCTACTTTTACTGGGACATAGAACTTACCGCTTTGCTATTAGAAGAGATGATACATGCCCTTGCTCGTATGAAGACGATCAAGAAGCTTCGCAAAATAATCCTCAACAAATCATTCAAGCTCACGAGTAAGAAACATGCTTATCAGAGCAGGATAAGTTTAAGTGCCATCACTTGATGGATTAGATAGTTTTTCGTTTGGAACTGCTTTATTGTAATGCATGATGAAAATAGGAACGTAAGGTTCTTCTTCTCAAAGTTATATCCTTTTTTTTTCCATTTATAAACAAAAACCTTAATTAATGCAGAATTTCCTCATCAGGTTTCTCAACAAAGTTTTGCATGCAAAGAAAGATGATACAAAGGACAATATCATCTCAGGTTCCTCCAGGAGTAAGCATACAGAAGTAAAGAAAGCTCTAAAGCTGCTCCCCATATGGTCTTCTTGTTTAATGTACGCAATTGCCTGGGCACAAGTTCCCACATTTTTTACCAAGCAAGCAACCGGAGTGGACAAATCAATAGGGCAAAGCTTCAATATCCCATCAGCTTCCCTTCGGGTGTTCATCCCACTTACGACAATGTGCTGCACTCCAATATATGACCGAGTCTTTGTGCCATTAGCAAGAATTGTGACAGAAAATCCCTCGGGAATAACGGAATTCCAGAGAATAAAAATCGGGATGACAATATCTGTACTGGATATGGTTATTGCAGCTCTAGTTGAGAAGAAAAGACTTGGAATTGCTCAAGAATATGGTCTAATTGATATCCCAAATTCAACAGTTCCTATGAGTTTCTGGTTGTTGGTGCCTCAAAATATGTTGTGTTCAATAGCATATGTGTTCACCATTGTGGGAATGCAGAAGTTTTTCTATGATCAGGTACCTACAGAATTAAGAAGCATTGGCCTCTCTCTTTCTTTTGGTGCACTTGGAGTAGGGAACTTCTTAAGCAGCTTGCTCATATATGTCATTGATGAAATAACAAGTCAAAATGGAAGGGATAGTTGGTTTTCTAACAACTTGAATCGAGCACATCTTGATTATTTCTATTGGCTTCTTGCTGGACTAGGTTTCCTAGGTCTAGTAGCCTTTGCCTTCTTAGAAAAATCGTTCTCTAAGGAAAATATTAGTCTTGAAAGGACTGCTCAAGCATAATAGCTAGCCTCTTTTTGCAGAACTTTGATGTAATTTGTACGAGTTATCAAACTTCCATAATCAAATTCTAGCCTTTGATTTCTTTCTTTTTGACTCTAGCTCTGTTCGTTTCAGCCGAAATTGTTTCAATCGGAGAGTTTCACTGTGGCGTCTGTGCATATGGTGAATGAAAATGAGAGGGAGATAGGAGGTAACTAAGGTGACTGAATTCATCCTCTCCTCAACTAATTTCCTTTCTAAAGATTTGTGATCTAAGATCTCTTAAATCCGAGCATCTTGCTCACGAACATGTTCTTCTAGAGATTGTAATCCTCATGCCTTGTGCCATCAGAACTGGATTCAATGTGGCTATCCAAGGATTATGAGCTCTGATAGCAGATGTAATAAATAAGACCTGAAAAAGAGAATGGGAACTTGGAATTAGAACAGAATTTAGGATGAGAAGAAGAATACCAAAATAGAGGCATTTACAGGTATGACGCAGCATGTGCCTAAATATTGAAAAATGATTTTCTCCTTAATGAGCAGCCCCTACTGTCACATGGTAGAGTACAATTGGTGGTTATGTTTATGCATCATCACAAGGCATTAACTATTCTACGTGTTATATTTGTATGACCAGTTAGAGAATTTACAAACTTCAGAAATGAACCTGGCAATGTCAAAGTTCCTTTATCCTTAATTCCTTATGTAAAGTAGATAAAAGAGTCTAAGATCCCTCAAATGCCCATACCTCTAGCTTAGAAATACTATTTTGTTTGGGAATCTCCCAAGCGTCCCTTGAGGTTATGATAATTTCACTTAGTTCCCCTCATATTTTTAAATGACACTTCGTCCCCTATTGAGATGACATTAAGGGATAATTTCATAAACCTCCCCTAAGGTTTTCGATAATTTCACTCGGCTCCCCTGAGATTTATATAATTACAAAGACCTCCCTTGGTGTGATAAAAAGACAACAATACCCTTCATTAATTGTCAACTAATTGAAAAACTCTATCAAATGTTAAAGCTTTCTCATTTATTATCAACCAATAATTCAAACTACAGTTTTTCCCATTTAACTATCTATCATCTTCCTCCTATATCTGTTTTCCTTTCAAACTCATTTATTTATTATTATCGGTCAAATGTGTACTGTCACCACTAATAAAATCACCAATACTTACATATCTTGGTATCTATTTCTAATTCTCAATTTTTTATTATTAAATAGTTTCCTTGTACCCATTTTTGTCTCCAATTTTTTATAGGCATTAGCAAATTGAAATTGTCAGATGACAAATTGAGTGCTAATTTCATTATCAAACTAGATGGAAATGAATATAGTGACAGTGATAAAAAAAATAAAAATTAAGGATAGGAAGTGGAATAAGAACTAAATATAATTTATATTGGTATAGTTGCCATGAAAAAAAAGTGTTCTTGGTATATATTTATAACTGCATTGTGTTTTTAGTTTTGATTTACAATTATTGATGTTATTCCTATAGAGAGAATTTGATTGATTTCGAACTTTGTGCCAATGGAGTATATTGGATATTGATATTAGTAGTGATGGTTTAGATTATTTTGTATTAAAAAGGTGGCAGCCATGGAATTGAAATTTAGAGATAGTGACGAATATTGTTGTGTATTAAATAAAATCTGATATTGATATGAGATTGTAGGTAAGTTTTTGGGTATTTGATGTAGCGTTTATAGTTGATACAATGATCTGCATCAAAAATTTTTAGGTAAAAGAGGAGCATTGGAACAAAGATAAGTATTTATTTAATAGTGATTTGATTGTTGATAGGTAGATAATAGTGATAGCAAGTAAAGATAAATGAAATAGAGACTGTGAACCATTTTTTTTCCTTTATATTTTTGTTGTGAATTATAATTCAAGGGCATTATAGAAATTTTGAGAAAAAAGTATAGCTTTTTGGGCCTAGAATGTTACTTAAATAGTGAAAATAGTGGAGGTAGGTGTAATTTTTAAAATTTGAGGGGAGCTTTCTCCAATTGTCAAAAACCTCAAGGGAGGTATGTGAAATTAACCCTAACATTAATTGTAGTACCACGCGGACATTAGTTAAGAATATTAGTGTTTTGAAACTCAAACGGTGAAGTCGCTTGAGTTCAATTGGATGGCTGGAGCTAGAACTGGCAATTATACCCAAAATCCAACAATCCACCCAACCCATCCACTAATTTGAGAGGTTGGGTTGGGTAAGTTGGGTTTTGGGTTAATTTTGGGTTGGATAATAAAAACCCATATATATTTTGGGTGGTTTGGGTATTTGTGTTGGGCACCCATTACCCAACTTAAGTTAAAAAAAAATTTAACAAATTAAAATCAAGAAACAAAAAAAAAATGACCAGCCTTGTTGGATCAAGCAAAACCCATATATGTACTGGTATGTATAATTATCATATATATACTACTACTACACACTGAGAAGGATGATCAACGAGTAATGCTTAAAAAGAACAAAAATTGAGAAATGAACGGTGCAACACAAATGTCAGTAGGATTTTTTAAAAAAAAAAAAGAAAAGAAAAAAGAAAATCCTTGTACTTGTCGCTTTTCACATCCATCCTTTTGCCGAGTTCCGGAAAAATGCATCCTACTGTTCTTCTATTTCTTTTTCTTTTTTTCATTCAAAATGAAAAAACAAGTCCCCCCCCCCCCCATTTATTGATCACTTCATCGAGATCTCTTAGTTTTGTTCACCCAAAATTGTTGCTTCGATCTCTTAGTTTGGACCAAAACTATACCCAATTTGAAAATTCTTACTTGTATAAAAAATAGTGAGTTCACCCAAGTAGTTTAAATAGTTAGTATGTATGTATTTGTGAATGTATATTAGTGTATTGTAATTTGTATGTGTAAAAATAATGTATTTCAAAAGAGTTTAAGAAGTGTGTGTGTGTGTCTATGAGTGTTTTAGTGTGTAAAAATATGTCTATCTATGTGAAAATGTGTTTATGTGTGTGAAAAATTTTTTTTGTATGTGAAAATGTATTTAAGAGAGTTTATGTATCAAAATCTATTAATTAATATATTGGGTCATATTTGGGTCATGGGTTTGAGATGACCCAATATGACCCAACCCAAAATTAATTCAATCTAAAGTTGGGCGGATTGAGTGTCACCCATTTAAATGACAACCCAATATCAATCCGCCCAAAAACCGCCCAACCCGTCCAATTGCCAGGTATAGCTGGAGCCAAAAAAAACTGGAAAATTGGATGACATTCTAAATATATTTCATTTATATATATGATAAAACTATCTATATCTCTTATGATGTTTTAAACTTTAAATGAAAATTACTTATTTAATATGACTAAATCTATAAGACCTGTTTGACAAAATGTACAAAATAAGACTATAAATGAAATTGGAAAAAAATTCATGCAAGCATTTATAATTTGTCAAAATTATCCAAATGTCAAATATAGATCCTATAAAAGAGTGGTTGAACTGTTTAGCCGGAATGACTAATCAGATAAGAAGTTGACCCAGTCAAACCTATTTGATCATTCAAGTGGGACCCATCCTATCGTTCAACCAGGACCCATCCTATTTTCTGCTTAGGTCTTTATTTTTTAAACAAAATATATATATGTTTTTGATAAAATTTGAAGATTAGATCTTTATTTAAATATACATAAGATTTTACCACTTGTTTAGTTTTTATTTGATAACTAACTATTTTTTTAAATAAAGTTGTTCACTTTTTATTATACAATTAATCCTTTTAACTTTTAAACTCAAAATTTTGTCATTATGTGACAATACTTGAGTAGTTAGAAAAATATTATTTTAAACAAAAATAAAATAATAAAAATAATGCTATATATATATATATATATTAGTGTAAATGAGAGGATTCGAATTCAAGACCTCTCACTTATATCTCCTCCCCTTAAACCATCCAACACATTCCTCTTCCCTCCCATTAAAATAATGCTATATCCTTGTAAACAAGTGACATAATTTTGTTTTATATTTGACTATATAATTTATTATGTAAAAGTACAATAAAATGAAATTAAACCCCTATTTGATAACTCAATTCAGCACTTAAATTTAATAGATTCAGATATTAACTGTTTAGAAGCATTTGATAACTAAAAATTGAACATCTAAATTGATTAAGTGGCACTGAATTTTCTAAGCAAAACTTACTCCAAAAAATAAGTGACAAGATATTCACTACACTCAAATGTATTAGATTTAGTACCTAATAATTCAATAACTTAATGGATTTAAATTTTAGATTTCAGTTTTTAGATTTCAATTTTATCAAACACACCCTAAGTCTTCTATTACTAGTTATATGTTCATTATATATTTGTCTACGTAAAATAATTAGTATCTAAAAGCATTTATTGGATAATTTATGTATACTAAAATTACCATTTTGTATTTATAAATATTATTTCAGTGACCCACCCACTCTATCCCCGTGCCAGGTTTCTTGTCTAGCCGAATTTAATAACTATGAATAAGAGTAACAATTTCATCAAGAGGAAACAGTACAAAATACATTAAAGGGTTCTTGCAGAAACCACTTTATTACGAGCTAAAGATACTGTCAAAATCGGCACAAACAGATATTGCGGACCTGTCTACGCTGAATGTTGCTGTAGTTAGTATTAAAGCAATTAGCAAGGCTCAGAGCATCTTTTAACATAGCTTAACTTTTGGGAAAGTGTAAATAGATCTTTAAGCTGATGAAATAATACCTGAGAGTTAGACTTAATGAGTATTCAAAAAAGGATCCATCTTATTCTGTAGTCAATGATTATATGTGTTTTTTAGCTTTTCAAACATATGACTACAAAACTTTAAAGTATTTATCAAAAATTATGACCTTGAATAAAAATATATACGTAAAATTTAAGTAGTTTTTTTTTTTTTGGTAATAAAAGGGACTATATATTAAAACAAACTTAAGTTATAGGTACAAAACGAGGGAAACAAATTCCCTTAAGATCTGCATCTA